CTTAATGCTATAACGAGTACTCAAACAGTATATTTCACTTTGTGTTTCTATGGGGGTGCAAACGATTGAAATCTTTACTTAATGTACACTAAACTGATCTTCTGTAAAAAAAAAAAAAAAAAAAAAAAAAAAAAAAGAAATTATCAATTCCCAACTTGACTCTCACTGGGATTAAACATGACAATAGGTCTGATCTGATTTCATCATCATTTAAAAAAAATCATCTATTATTTTTCACTTTATGTTTCTGTGTGGGAGCAAACTGTTGAAATCCTTACTTAATGTATAGAATCCAGATCTTCTGTATATTAAGATAATCGAAAATGAATCTTGATGTGAATGGAAGGGGAGAGGGAGTGGGAAAGGGGAGGGTTGTGGGTGGGAGGGACGGTATGGGGGGGAAGCCATTGTAATCCATAAGTCGTACTTTGGAAATTTATATTCATTAAATAAAAGATAAAAAAAAAGAATTCACCTTCTTTAAGGAAATAAGACAAATTCAGAGATATTTTAAGAACAATTGGTAAGTGCTTTAATTTTATTTTTATTATTTCTTAAGATTTTATTTATTTATTTGAGAGGTAGAGCTACAGACAGAGAGACAGAGAGAAAGATCTTCCATCTGCTGGTTCTCCCCAAATGGGCACAATGGCTGTAGCCAGGCTGATCCAGTCAGGAGCCAGGAGCCTTATCTGGGAGTTTCACATGGGTACGGGGGCCCAAGAACTTGGGTCATCCTCTGCTGCTTTCCCAGGCCATGAACAGAGAGTTGGATAGGAAGAGGAACAGCTGGGACAGGAACCAGTGCCCATAAGGGATGTTGGAACTGCAAGCAGAGGCTTAGCCTACTATGCCACAGCACCAGCCCCTATTTTTTATTTTAATCTATTAAAATGAATTTTCCTACAAAGCTTAATACTTAATTTTTCCTTATTCTTTTAAAATAGACAAAATTCAGACAACAAAGTAGATCCCAAATTCCTGGTTAATATCAGTTACCATGTATTTTTCTTAATATTTCAATTTTATGGGGCCAGGTTAGCACCTTATTCCTCAATATCATTATTAAGGCTCCTTAATAGACTTATTTTTTAAAGATTTCTTTTTGAAAGACAAAGATATATAGAGAGAAGGAGACACACACACATACACATAGACACACACACACACAGAGGAAGACAGAGAGAAAGAGAGAGAGAGGGAGAGAGAGAGAGAGAGAGGTATCATCCGTCTCCTGTTTCACTCTCCAAATGGCTAAAATGACTGGGGCTCGGCCTGGCTAAAACCAGGAGACAGAAGCTTCTTCTGGGTCTCCCATGTGGGTGCAGGGGCCCAAGCACTTGAGCCTTCTTCTGCTGCTTTCCCAGGCTCCTCAGCAGGGAGCAGGACCGGAAGTGGATCACCTAGGACACAAACTGATGCTTATATGGCATTGCAGCAGGTAGCTTTACCCACTACTCCACAATGCTGATCCCTCTAATACAAAGTACTGTGAATGTTGGCAAATACATATTTACGGTATCACATAAAATAGATTTCCCACCCTAATTATCCCGGTGATTTGCTTATTCAACTTTCTCTTTGTTGCTAAATTAGCAACTAATAGTCTTCTTATTATCTCTTGATTTAAGTATTTGAAACTTCCATTAAATCCAATATCAAATGGATTTTTTCCTATATTGTCTTCAACAAGTGCAATAGCTTTGTACTTTGTTTTTAAGCTTGACAGTGAACATTAGAAGTTATAAAGGGTGGAGGATAGAGGTGATAGATGAAGGTTGGATATTTGGTACCAAAACACCATTAGATAGTAGTGGTAAATTCTAGTGTTTCTTAGCATAGTGGGGCACCTATAATTCACAATAATGATACCAGATAAACAGCTGGAAGTGAGTAGTCAGGAGGATCTAAACAGAAAGAGAAAGAAATGGAAATAATTACTTGATTTAATAATTTATTCTGTTTATGCATTGAACTACCGCATTGTGTCATGGAAAAATATGCAAGTATTATACATTATTAAAAATGTTTTTAAAGATTCCATTTAACTTCTTTGAAAGGTAAAAGGTCTATGTTTAGGTTCACTTCTTTGCACATGGACATTCAAGCATTTTGCTCTGATTTTTTCAAAAGATCATCAATCTCCACTGAAATGCTTTGACTATATTTGTGTGGGTTTATCTCTGGACTCTGTTCTGTTCCACTGAACTACATTATTTCAGTTCCATGCTCCTAGTAACATCTTATGACCTTGGCACAAATCACCATGTCTTTGTATAACTACTATTTTGTCTCTTTTTTCATTCTTCCTTAAATCTTAAAACCATTGTTATTCCATTTAAAATCCATGGTTCACTATCAGCTGAGAATATTACATCTTTCTCATATACTCCTCTAAAAATTTCTCTCCTTTTTTTTTTCTAATGATTATGTAAACTTCCTCTTAGGACCCTTATTAGCCCTACTTTTAATATGAGGGTACTTCAAAACATTCATGGAAAATGGAATTAAAAGATGTATATTTTGTTGCAAAACTTTCAAAAATCTGTGAAGTTTTAAATACCAAATTTTGTTATTAACTAGACCCATTATCTTATGCATAACTTTCAAAGTATTTTTGCAACAAAATAAGCTTTAAATTCTCTTTTCTATAAACTTCTTGAAATACTCTCAAGAATTTCATTCTAGTTGAGTTGAAAGTGGTGCCAATCAAATAGTTACTCCTTGTTCCCACCATCATACTAGTTTTTCTCATTTAATAATATATTCCAGTAATCTTAACATGCTGTGTTGGTCAGCTTGGTGTTACTACAATGAAAAACCTGAGACAATTAACTGTATAAGGGGGAAACATTGATTGAGACCACAGTTTTGGAGGTTTGAGTCCAAGTTTGGGTAAACCCACTGGTAAGTCTTCTGTGATGCTTATGGATGACAATGACAGAACAGGTACAGAGGAAGCAAAATGAGGAGAGCCAGGAGGCAGAGAGCCATTGGGCCTAAACTCAGGTTTTTGAAAACTCTTGTAAGAATTACCTTCTTATGACATGCTTCAAGGACTTCCCACTAGCCCTCACCTCTAAACATCATAATTGAACTAAGTTTTCATATGTTTTGTACCATTAACATGATTTGGGGTTTAAAGCAATGCCTAAATTCAGGACCAGATCATTTTTCAAACTACAGCATTCATAACGCATTTAATGATTACACATTACTCTACTATATGGAATTATGTTCCTGTATTTTATAACTTATAATTGCTTCATTTTAAATTTTTATTATTAAAGAAATGTGTCATTAAAAATCAAGTGTATCACACGTTATATTCGTTATTTATGGGAACTTGATTGGTATGAATGGAATTCTATTTCACATCTGACCTTTAATTTCCATGATATAAGTGTTAAAAAAAGATAAGATATCTGAATGAACTTATAAAAGGAGACATTTCAGAGGCTATATTCCATGATCATCATATATTCAACCCAAAATATGGTTTAAAATAAATGCTAAGCTGGGTGGGCAGTGTGGTGCAGCTGGGCAAATGCCTGCTTGGAACACTCACATCCCTTATTGGTGTGCTAGTTTGAGTAATGGCTACCCTGCTTCTGATTTAGCTTCCTGCTAATGGGACTGGGAAGATATGCAGATAATGGTCCAAGTGCATGAGTCACTGCCATTGACAGGGAAGATCTGGATGGAGTTCTGAGTTCCTGACTTTGACCTATCCCTGCCCTAGCTTTGGTGGGCATTTGGGGATGAACCAGCAGTTATGAGTTTTCTCTTTCTGCACTTTGCCTTTAAAATAAATAAATCAATATTTTAAGAAATATAAAATGACTCACACAAAACCATTATTTTAAATAATTCTGGGGTCTAAGTATTAATAAAACCTACAAATATAGAAGCATTAGAAAACAATGAAAATGAGAATGTTGTATATTAACACCTGAGATGTTGACAAAGAGTAGGAGATTAAGAACATGATACAGTAGGCATTTTGTTTAAGGAGATCCAAAGGAAGCATAAAGAAAACTTTTGAAAACAGGAATGTCTCAGGGGTTTAAAGATCCAGATTTTCAGATCACTTGAGCTCATCACTTTATAATTTATAATACAAAAACACAGTTAAAAGAGATTATGCCATTGAAAATCATTTGACGTATTTTGGAGGCTTTAGTAAATATTATCCTTTGATCTCCTGCCAAATGTCCCACAATGATGCTACCTTCTAAACAATGGAACATCACAGTTCTAAACTGCAATGTATGAACTGCTGTAGAAAAAAAAAAAAGCTGTAGAAGTCCACTTTGCCAAAATAGCCTGGTCCTCTGTAACAAGTCTTTGGAATAACTTGTAAGTGAAGAAACAAGCATCGTATATAAGACAAATTGAACATTCAGGGAAACATTTTGGAGCACCTTGTAACCCATAATCATCCAATCCCTCTTGGACTCCTGTTCCCATTTTGGTGATTTGGAAGCAAGATGAAAGTAGATAAAGTGTTTACCATGAGAGAGGTGCCCCTGAGATATACAAAGGGAATTGTAAACTTAGCCCTGTGATCCAGCCATTAGTCTTTTTAATGATTCAGAACCATAACCTTCCTCAGATAACATCTTTTTTCTCTCTATGCTTGAGCTTTCAGAAGCCTAGAGGAATCTTGACTTTTTTTTTTAGCCTTTTATTAAACTTAAGCCTAGAAATAAGGGAAAGCTAAAGGAAAAGGATTAGAGAGGTTTATTCAACACTGTCAAAGAAAGAAAATCTCTGCTTCACTGCCAGACATATTAAACTACTGATCTTGCAATTGCTTAAAATTGTCACTGGCATTATAGCTATGTCAATTAAAACTAGTGCTGAGAAAAATGATTTAACCAGCTCCCTCTTTTCAATGTCATTCAAGAACTCTAATAGTGTGAGAGGTGTGTTTTTCTTTTAAGTGGTGCTGTAGTCTTTAGGTATTATTCAAATGTACCATTAAAACTTATTAACAGTAGCCGGCGCCGTGGCTCAATAGGCTAATCCTCCACCTTGCGGCGCCGGCACACCGGGTTCTAGTCCCGGTTGGGGCGCCGGATTCTGTCCCGGTTGCCCCTCTTCCAGGCCAGCTCTCTGCTATGGCCAGGGAGTGCAGTGGAGGATGGCCCAGGTGCTTGGGCCCTGCACCCCATGGGAGACCAGGAGAAGCACCTGGCTCTTGGCTTCAGATCAGCGCAGTGCGCCGGCTGCCACGTGCCAGCCGCAGCGGCCATTGGAGGGTGAACCAACAGCAAAGGAAGACCTTTCTCTCTGTCTCTCTCTCTCACTGTCCACTCTGCCTGTCAAAAAAAAAAAAAAAAAAAAAAAACTTATTAACAGGAGTATATTTCAAAGGTTTATGGGCTTTGGGAAAGGTACTGAGATGTTTGGCCATGAAAAATGTTTTGGATTAACAATGTTGGAGTACAGTGTTTTCCATCATCAAACAATATTTGCTTAGTAACATAACAGACTGTTTAATTTATGCTTACATTTCAAAGATCCCCAAATTTTATAACACATAGATATTCACTTCCCATTTCATTCATGACATTCACACACTTTTATGTAACACATTCTTTTTTATATATAAAAAAGTAAGGCATAAAAGTTCAAGTGAATTTTCCAAGTTTGCACAGCAAGTCTTTTTCTACCCTCCTCTGATTTCTTGTCCTTAATTATAAATGAACTGGCTTTAAAATACTAGATTTGTAAACCCAGTAATGGGTTGAAAATTGTCACTTGAAATGTATTGCTTTCAAACTCACAATTTCTTTCTTTCTTGACTAGTGCAAAACCTCATTGATTCAGCTTTCCATTGACTCCTAATTAGGTTTTGGATAGTCTACACTATTTTACAGCATAAGCCTGTCTGATAAAACAAATTCCTTTTAAGTTGAGGTTAAGAAGCTGGTCTTACATATATTCAATTTGACCAATTTAGCAATGGAAACATATCTAGAAACTCTACTGCTTGCTGATTAACCACTTTATTTGCTAAATAGAATAGTCTAAAATTAATGATACAAATAAGCATTGTGTACATATTTTTACTCAAAGAAATAAGGAATTATAAGGGAAATTATAAGGGAAATAAATTTGTTTATATAACCAGATATTTTTATTTTTAATAAATTTTCTTTTTTTTTTTTTTTTGACAGATATAGCTAGACAGTGAGAGAGAGAGAGAGAGAGAGACAGAGAGAAAGACTTCCTTCCTTTGGTTCACCCCCCCAAATGGCTGCTACGGCCTGCGCTGCACTGATCCGAAGCCAGGATCTTCTGTCCAGGTGCTTCCTCCTGGTCTCCCATGCGGGTGCAGGGGCCCAAGCACTTGGGTCATCCTCCACTGCCCTCCCCGGCCACAGCAGACAGCTGGACTGGAAGAGGAGCAACCAAGACTAGAATTTGGCACCCATACGGGATGTTGGTGCCGCAGGTGGAGCTCCAACAAGTGAGCTATGGCACCGGCCCCCAGATATTTTTTTCTTAAGAATGAGTCCAGCTATCTGGTGATGTTGTCATTGCCACAACATACTTTCTTTAAAAAAAAAATATATCTTCATTTTATTTGCAAGTTGGAGAGACACACAGAGAGAGATAGAGACAGGAGAGAGATGGTCCATATACTAGTTCAAACCCCAAATGCCTAAAAAGCCAAAGTTGGGCCACCACAAAACTAGGAACCCAGAACTCTATTCAGACACCCACATAGGCAACAGGAACCCAAGCACTTGAGCCTTCGCCTGCTGCCTCTCATGATATGCTTTATCAGGAAGCTGTATCAGAAGTGGAGTAACTGATCCCCACATAGTATCACTCTCCAGCAACCTAACTGTTGCTCCAAATACCTACCCTCATATAACCAAAATTTAACATGTGAACTCTATATGTCAGGTTCAAGCGAAAGGGATATAGAGAAGAAAATGATTTAAGCCCAGATCTCAAAAAGTTCAAAATCTTGTAGGGAATAGAAATAAATACAGCAATAATTATCAAATGCAACAATTATCAAAAAATAGGAGAATACATGGAATAAGAAAGAAATGTAGGTAACTGATTCTTAATAAAGGAAGACAAAGGTGGTATGTAAGATTATAGACAAGGTTAGGAAGAATGGGGCAGAAAAAGCACAAAGTTCAGAGCTGAATCTTGAGGAACAAATCAAATGTGTCCCAAGAAGAAAATTTAAAGATGAATACTGTATGCAAAGAGAACAAGCACTGCCGAGGTTAATCCTATACCATTCACAGAAAACATGGGGAATTGGAGAAACTAAGCAGGAAAGAAGGTAAGCAAATGAGTAATTACTAAAACAATATTAAAGATCTAGCACTTTATCCCAAATGTAAGAAAAGAGATATAGCGGAAACATATACAAATGAAGTAACAGAAAACTATAATAAACTAATACTCTTAAGCCACAGTGTATCAAAACTTGCCTTAAATATTATGTTGTAAAGATGTCAGTTACAATTAGACATTAATGAGTAGAGAGAAATCACGATCTAATTCTATATTATTTAAAATAATTCAGTTCAAATTAAATAATACAAGCAATTTTTAGACATAATTTTATTTTAGATACATTATTTAATCTGTAAAATTATTCCTATATTTAATCAATGTTCTTCAGGATATTGACCCTTTTGAAAGGAATAGTATAGGCAAAATATATCATGCAAACATTAACTTTTAAAAAGGCAGGCATGGCAATTGTAATATTCAGTAAAATACACATAAGAATAAGAAAAATTTTCAGAGACAATGAGGGATATTGCATCATAGTAGACTTATCCACTAGGAATACTAAGGATCATAATTCTATGTGCACAAAATAACAGAACCTCAAATACAAGAAGCAAAAACAGATACAGCAGAAGGGAAAACAGACAAGTGCACAATTTTAGTTTATGACCTCAACAATCCTCTCTGAGCAACCAAATGATAGAGAAATATAGAAGGTCTGAAAAGCACACTCAACTAAGATGTTCTAAATGATATTTACAAAACACTTTACTTAACAATATTAGAATAAATACATTCTTTCAAGTATTACAGAATATTCACAGTAGACCATACAATGTCCATAAACCAAATGTAAGACACTAACATAATTCAAATTATACTATATATATATTTATAAATATTCTGTGAAATCAGACTAACAATCAGAAGAAAATAATAACATATCTAATCCTTTGAAATTAAAACAAGTACTTCTACATAATTCATGAACTAAAGAGGAATTCAAAGTAAAGCTTTAAAAAAATGCATGGAATGAGTATGAAAATATAGCCTATTGAAATGTGTGGGATGCAGCTAAACCAAAGATGAGATGGGAAATTTTTAGCATAAAATGTTTATCGTAAAAAAAGGAAAGATTTCAAGTTATTCATCCAGGCTTGTACCTTAAGAAACCAGGAAAAGAAGAACCATTTTATCTGGGGTTTATTTTAATCAAAAGAAAATAGATCAAAGGAAAAAAGAAAAATAACAAAAATCAAAGAAATTGAAAACAGGAAATCAACTGAGAAAATCAATGAAAAAAGGCTGTTTCTTAAAAAAAATTAGCACAATTTATAAGTCTCTGCAAGGCCAACAAAGATCAAAAGCAAGACACAACTCTCCAGCATCTGAGATAAGCAGGACTGTTATTGCAAATCCTATGGCCCTTATGAGTTTTGTATAAATAACTTTATGATCCTAAATTAAACAAAATAGACTAATTCTTTAAAAACACAAACTACCAAAATACAACCAAGATTAAAAAACCTTAATAGTGTCAAGCCATTAAATAAAATGAATTCATAGTGTAAAAACCTCACAGAAAATCTATCTGTATATTGGGATGATTTCACTGGAAAACTATAAAAATATGTATGGAAGAATTATCACTAATCTGACACAGTCTCCTGTAAAATAGAAAGACTATTTCCCAACTCATTTGATGAGGCTTATATTACCTTGATCTCAACACTAGAAAGCTAAAAATAAAAAACAAAAATATATTTAAAGGAAGGAGAAAAGCGGGGGAGGCATGTGGTGGAGCAGTTAGGTTGCCACTTGGGACACCTGCACCCTTAATTTAGTGTCCTGCTCAAATCCTGACTACTCACCTTCTGATTCAGCTTTCCTGTTTGTGCTCGCCCTGGGAGGAAGCAAATGGTGGCTCAAGTATTTGGCTCCCTGACACCGATATGAGAGACCTGGATGGAGTTCAGGCTCCTGGTCTGCTTGGACCAGCCCTGGTTTTTGAGGACATTTGAGGTGGAAACCAGGTGATGGACAATATCTGTCTGTCTCTCCCTCTCCCCACTCCAAATAATTTTATAAACAACAATAACACAAACACAAGAAAACAAAAACTATAGAGCAATATCTCTCAGGATATTTCACATACAAATCCTCAAAAATACTAGCAAGTCAAACTTAACAATGCATAAAATGTATTATACCGCTGAGCAGCGTTCATTACAGGTATGCAAAACTGGTTTTGATACAGGACAAACAGGTAGCTACAAAAGGCCATGAGCTGGAAACCATAAACCCAGTCCTATGTAATCGTATCTGCCTGCCTGTCAGTCATGCTCCCTTGCCAGGATGTATCTTCTTTCAGCTGGGACCTGGAAAGGAGGGGATATTAACAACTTCCCTTACTACTTCAAAGAAAGAGGCTGGCAAGTGGGAGGAGCTCTCTCTTCTCTCTGCAGACGGGAATGTGAGAAGGTGCTGCAGAGCTAGCTCCCTACTTTCCTTCCTCCACTCCTCTTTCCGCTCTGTTCACTCCACTCCCCAACTATGCCCGCATGTGTGTGTCTGCTTTCTTATCCTTTTTAAAGTAAACTTAACCACTTTGTGCACCATAAATGTACTTGTGCTTGAAATGCTTCTCTAAGTCAAAGGTGAGGACCTGGAATAAAATTAAACCCCACCTTTCCCATTTCAGTTTCACATCAATTGATTAGTTAGTGTATTCCAACATAGAAACAAGTTTAAAAGGCAAATCATATGATCATAACAACAGATGCAGAAAGTGGTTTTGACAAGAGCTAGCATCCATTCATAATAAAAATAGTGAGTTACAAATAGAGGGCAAAGACCTTATGTTGATCAAGTTTGTGGAAGAAACTAAGAGCTAATATATTCAATGCTGAAACTTTTTAAAATTTTCACTCCTAAATGGAAACTCTCATAAAAAATTCTTTTTCAATATAGAACTGGAATTCTAGTTATTTAGTAAGTCATTTTTAAAAATGAAAGACACACGGATAGAAAAGAAGAAATAATCCCTA